GACGACAACGACAACGACAACGACAATAACGACAACGACAACGACAACGACAACGACGATAAAGATGGTGATGCTGTATAGCTGTTGCTATTGATGTTGCTATTGCTTTCGCTTTTGCTGTTGCTGTCACTGTTGCTGTTGTTGTTGTTGCTGCTGTTGCTGCTGTTGCTGCTGTTGCTGCTGTTGCTGCTGTTGCTGCTGTTGCTGCTGTTGCTGCTGCTACTGATGTTGATGATAATAATAATAATTATGATGACGACGATGATGATGATGGTAATGATGATGATGGCGATTATTATTATTATTTCCAACGTGGATCACGGCATTAGCCGGTGCCTTCTGGGTTAACCTGTCCCAACCTGGGACATAGGGATTCAATCAAGAATTTTTCGCAGGATGTGTGCTGTTCCCAGTAGTGTGATTTTCTGCACTTCTTGGGCAGTGTGGTGGCCAAGGAGTTCCTTAAGGTTCTTCTCAAAACCATTGTGAGTTTGTCTCTTTCCTTCACCATGATGTTAGTATTATCTGGTACGGCTACGTCAATCAGCAGGCATCGTTTTTTTTCTTGTTGTGGAGCACTATATCAGGGCGGTTTGCAGGTATCGTGCGATCTGTCTGCACTGCCATATCCCACATTATGGTAGTATCTCCGATGTTGGTAACTGGTCTCGGAGTATGTTCATACCACTTGTCAGGTACTTGCTCACCAAGTTCACTGAAGATTGACCAGTGCAGATAGCTGGCTACCTTGTTATGGCGGTTTGTGTACTCGGTTGGGGCCAACATTGTGCATCCGACGATGATGTGGCTGATGGTCTCCTCTGCCTTGATGCACATTCTGCACTTGTTGTTGACCTGTTGCTTGAGGATGTTGCGTTGACGGTATCTGGTGTTGAGTGCTTGGTCTTGGGCTGCAATGATCAGGCTTTCTGTCTCCCACTTGAGCCCGGAACTACTCAGCCAGGCAACGCTTGCAATCTTGTCGACAAATGGCCTGTCGAGGCTCTTGTAGAATATTCCATGTAAAGGCTTGTTCTTCAATACCTCGATCTTCTCTGCTTCCATATTGGCCTTCAGTCTCTGCTTTGTTAAGGATTGGCTAGTGGGCTGAGGAGACAAGTATTTGGCTTTGATTTCTTTAGCTTCACGTAAGAGAGCGTGCGTTGATTTTCCAGACTGATGGAATTTGATAAGCTTTGTAAATTTGTCTTCCTTAAGCTCGATGTAGTCGCCTACACCTACAATGGCAGTGTTGTACGTAGACATCAGTTCAATTAGACCACGACCACCATTCTGCCTCTTGATGTACAGTCGCTCTACGTCTGCTTTTGGGTGATGGAGCCCGTGCATGGTTAGTAGTTTTCTTGTCATGCGATCCATCCTTTCGATATCTGATCGCAACCAGTTGATCACCCCGAAGCTGTACACGGGGACCGGGAGTGCCAGGCTATTGATCGCTGTTATCTTGTTTTTTTAAGCAGAGATCAGACTTGAGAACTAGGCGGACACGGCGATAGTACTCCTTAGCAATGTTCTCCTTCATCTTTGCATGCTGAATACCATCACTTTCGTCTACACCAAGATATTTGTAGGTGTTCTCGTGGTTCAGACTTTGTAGGGCTGTCTTGTCATCAAGTTCGATATTTCGAAATACTTTTTACTAGCTTACTATCTTTTAAGATTGCGGTTGCAAACTTTTCCAAGCCGAACTCCATTTTGATGTCATCACTGAATGCTTTGACTGTTACCAAAGCCTGCTCCAGCTCATATTCGTTCTTGGTGAACGGTTTGAGGTCATCCGTGTAGAGCAGGTGGCTGATGGTGTTGTTTTTATCGACTGTAAATCCCAGACCCTGTCTATTCAGCATGTTGGTTAGCGGTGTTAGTGCTAAGCAGAATAGCAGGGGAGAGAGCGAGTCGCCCTGGAAGATTCCTCTCTTGATTGAGATATCTTCTGTCTTGAAGCAGCCTCCTTAAGAGAAAAGGAGCATTTCAGTCTTCCATTTCTTTATTGTAGCTTCCATGGACTGAATGATGGTTGGTGACACACTGTAGATTCTTATGGCTGCGAGAATCCAGGAATGTGGGATACTGTCGAAAGCTTTCTTATAATCAATCCATGCAAATTCATAAATATTATTATTATTATTATTATTATTAGTAGTAGTAGTAGTAGTAGTAGTAGTATTAGTAGTAGTAGTAGTAGTAGTAGTAGTAGTAGTATTAGTAGTAGTATTAGTAGTAGTATTAGTAGTAGTAGTAGTAGTAGTAGTAGTATTAGTAGTAGTAGTAGTAGTAGTAGTAGTAGTAGTAGTAGTAGTAGTAGTAGTGGTAGTAGTAGTAGTAGTAGTAGTAGTAGTAGTAGTAGTAGTAGTAGTGGTAGTAGTAGTAGTAGTAATAGTAATAGTAATAGTAATAGTAGCAGTAGCAGTAGCAGCAGTAGTAAGTTTGGTATGATGTAAGTAATGCTGTTGATACTAGGTATTGAGGATGAAGCTGATAATAATAATAATTGTGGTATTCATGAATTTGACAAGTAATTGTATATTAAAATGTTGCATGATTCTGGGTTGGTTACATCAGCTGTTTACCTTCTCGGTGCAGTGCTGCTTGTTGCTTCCCACACACATGGCGTACGCCATCGCGTGCGCTACAAACGTCTGCTCGAAGTTGCCTCTAAAGAGATGCGCCATCGGTCCATTAGCGAACACGGCTACATCCTCCCCGCTATGTGGCGCATCTGAATTTGGTATCGCAGCGTCCTGTTTAAAGTTTGGGTCAGCTGGAAAGAAGTCAGTATCACGTTCTACACTTTGGCACGCGTATGAGAACTGACATTGCGAATCTTAACCTTGCGATGTTACCCACTTCTTACCTTGCACGACTAAGCTATACCCACACTAGTGTGCCCGCCATAGATCTTTACCTGTGTCGACGCCGGTTAGGTTGCGCCGGGGTGAAGGGTCGTAACCAGTACCAGCTGCGTAAAGTAGCGTTGTGTAGGGCATCCCATCCACATCCGAAACTTCGCTTGCAGTACCTATAACACCCTATAACCTATAACAATTTGGTTACACTGATTAACGTTTGTAGCCATGATCGCAATGAATTTACATCTACGTGTTGTAACGGATGGATCATGAAATTTCCTGACTGCCATTTAATATTATCAGCGCTCGCAGAGAACATAATAATAATAATTATATATAATATATATACATTTATTTATTTAATAGCATTATATCATTATATAAAAGAAACGCATTGTTATGCAGTCGCAAGGCCGTAGCCATGGGTAGCACTGAATAATCATTATGTTGAAAGATTAAGATAGAAATTTTTTAGTGAATATGCGCTCATTACTTAAATGCATAACTTCCGAAAATTCAGAGCACCTTATCATTATTAAAGTAGAACATTTAGAACGTTCTAATTTAAGTATGTATTTTATAAATTATTGTAAATTTATATTTCTGGGAGTTACACTCTCCTTATGCTGTATTACACAGAAGAATTCGGAAAGACCACCTATCTAGCGATATACATAATAATCCCTTTTCGGTGCAGACTATTCTTGAGTATGCACTCTCCACTTTAAAACAGTTTCAACATAATAATGTTTCTTCTGACGGATACTGGGCGTGCGCGAGTGCAGATCTAATCATATACTAAACTATTAGTAACTATATAATAATAAAACTATATAACTATTACTAAACTTAACGTATATTGAAAAAAACGGTGTCTAATAACTATTCAAGTGAGATATTGCAAAAGAAGCGGATATATTTTGGTCTCTGAAATTGGGGGGGGGGGGTGGCCAGATGTTACGGCCATGAATAGTATTTTCGATATCGCTTCATCAGATCTTTCTTACAGAACAACCTATATTGCTTGAAAACAATTGCAACTAATTTAAAATATATAGCACATGTTTTCTTTATCATTAGCATGGAAACATTTATAGTTACAAATACATCCTATTAGTCAGGCATAGCTTAATATAACTGTTAATATGGTCATTAATAGATTAAAGGTTTCCAACTTATGCGCCATTATAACTAAGCATCATTACCGAATATGGGAGTGCCACGAACAGAATTTCCGGCAGTGGTCATTGAGTGCGAATGATCTGCGGTGAGAACCATGAGCGTATCTTTGCTGTCTGTCACATCCATAGCGACCTTCACAGCAGCGTCAAGGACGACCACCTCGTTGATGGCCGCGGCCGCTCGCCCGCCGTGATGAGCAGAGTCAATGTTGGAACCTCAACACACGAAAATTTACTGTAAACTCAATAGAGACCGTAACATGATAAAAAGAACCTATATCGTAAAGCCGATATTTCACGCTAGCTCACATCGCTCAAAACCATAGAAATATATGGAGAGTCTAGCTCTAGTACTATAGCCCTTGTTCGCCACGTACAGGCCTGTGCCGAACAAGGGCTATAGTACTAGAGCTATGGCGAGTCTAACTGGGATATTATTTCTATGCCCACAACAAATGCTGGGGTGAGGTGAATGGCGATAAACCTTGTTTAACACTATCAGCAGACGCAAGCAGAAAATAATAAATCACCTGATGACAAAACTTGTGTGCGCATGTTTAAATGACTAAACAATACTGAAGGTGGTTTGGAAGCATGTTGCTTTAGTGCGTAAGAGACGATCTGACTAAGTGGTGACTGGTGTAAAATAAATTATTCAAAATAATACGTTACCGTAGCAGTGCACCGCCTCAATAACATACTTTCAACAAACAGGTAATATCCATTTGGGTTTCTCCGTAGGATCTCAATTGCCTTTTTGACCATCTGCGCGAGCGTGGGATTTCTAGCTTCGTCTGGCGTGTTATCAACGATGTTCGGAATTTCGCCCGGCTCAAAAATTCCTAGGGGAAAGCCAATCACCATTTTCTCACTACTTTATATCTGCGTATACGCCTCTGCACGTTACAGAAAAAGATAGAGATGTAACCGTTCATTCTAAAACGTGATTTTTAACTAAAATGTATTAATGACCAAACTGAACGGGTGCCTAAAGTTATACTACTACGCTCTACTACATAGTGATGTAATTTTTCCTCCCATTTGCAATCAGGTTGTTTCGTTCGGTAAGCTATTTTACTGTTCAGTACAATGTACAATGATTTCGTGAATACCATTGATGTTAAAGACTTAGCTGTCATATAGAAGGCTCTGCATTACACACCAAGCAGATAGTCTGTGCTTTCTGGCTCAATGTCGTTGAATTGCGTAACATTCCAGACATACGCGTGGTTGAAGCCGTTTGCGGTCATCTGCTCCGTCCACTCATCGATCAAGTTCCTCCCGTCTGGCCGTCTGCCATATGTATCCGGGTACTCTACATCTGCTTGCGTAATGGGTGTGAACCTTGATCTTCCGCCTCCAAGTATCACCTTCAGAATCATACCATATATATATATATATATATATATATATA